ACAATGAAGATAGCAATTTAATTTTTAAATATTAATACCAACCTTAATTTCTGATTTTTTTAATATATTTTTGTTCTTCTGACTAATTTTGACATTTTATAAAAATTAAGAATATGTCAAAATGACATTGACATTTCAAACCGGAAGTTGCTTCTATCTCGAGTAATATTACAATTAAACATATCATGTTTGGACTCATTTTAAAGGATTTTTCACAACGATTATAAATATGTCAAAATTGACGTTGACATTCTTAACCGGAAGTTGACCATAACTTCATTAATATTGAAGATAACTATGTCGTGTTTGTACTCATATTAAAGGATTTTTAATAACAATTACAAATATGTCAAAATTGAGGTTGACATTTTAAACCATTCATGGTGTTCTTTCATGATGTATTCTTTATTAAAAAACTTTAAAATGAGTCCAAACATGATGCATTTATGAAAGATTCTAGTTCTCGGTCTAGTGTTAGTTCTAGTATTGCACTAGCACCATCATTAGAACAAACACAAGACCGAGACTAGAAACATTCGGATTTAGCCGCATGTCTGTCGAGACGGCTAAACCCGAATGATAGTTCTCGGTCTAGTGTTCTCGGTTCCTGCGATATTATCAAGCTTAATAAATGAGCCTACAATACCTGATAATGTCAAATCAGGCTTTAGAACATTTGGATTGTTTCAACAATGTTGATTTTTCCGAAATAATTTTTCGGGAAGCACAGGCTAAAACAATAAGTGATGTTGAGGATGTGAAATCTTGTCTTAAATACATTGAATCTAAAATTGATCCTGGTCTTCTTCAACAATGTCAGTGTTGAAGCTATGATGTTATTTGACTTTTGGTTACAGCTAGCAAATGAAGTTGAGGCACAGAGTGATGGAATAACTGCCCCGACCCTCCCATTCAAGTACCTGCACTTCCTTAAGAAACTTTGCCAATGATACTAAATAATCCAGTTTCCGAAATAGAAGTGATGCAAGAATTCGAAGCTTCTAATGAAATCGTTCAAACTAACAAGAATGTTTGCCTCGTCAACTACAAGTTACAACGTTATCCTCCGAAGAAGAGAATTAAGATGTTGCTCAACAATTACAGGAGTTGTACTTCAACAGTTGAGCTGAAAGTGATGATGCTGATCCATCAACATTATCATCGTCGAATATATTTGCTACGCCTAAACGGTCTCTTGCCTCAGTGTTCAATGATGTCATTCCTTGGCTACACCATAAACTGACAGTACGAAAAAGGAAGAAAGATATACTCCAAGTGTTGTTACATCTGACAAATGGGTGGAATATTTTGAACTCAAAGAGAAAGAGAAAAAAATTTAAAAAGAGCTGAAGATGGAGGGAAAGAAGAAAAGAGAAATTCAGAAAAATAAAGTAGGGGTAGCGCAGAAGGCAAAGAAGACAAAAAGATAAAGGAAAACTTCTAGTTCTAGGTATAGTGTTCTACATAGTAATAGTGCTAGTGTAAAACTAGAACTAACACTAGAACTAGAAACATTCGGCCTCTAAAGACGGCTAAACCCATATGATTCTAGTTCTTGTTAGTTCTAGTTTTACACTAGCACTATTGCTACGTAGAACTAATACTATACCTAGAACTAGAATCATTTGGGTTTAGCCACACGTCCCTAAAGACGGCTAAAACCGAATGATTCTAGTTCTAGGTATAGTGTTAATTCTACTTTTACACTTGCATTGTCACTAGAACTAACATTAGACCTAAAACTAGAATCATTTGGGTTTAGCCGTCTTGAGAGACGTGAGGCTAAACCCGAATGTTACGCCTACAGTTGCTCGTCTGCATAAGATCTTGGCAAAAGATCACAACACTGATCTAGGCCACCTATGCAAACAAGATGGTAAATATACAGAGGATGCTAAGGAATCGTTGGAACTCCTACTGAGTATACACTTTCCTTCCTCAAAAGTCTGCCCCCATGCAGATGCCGACCCTGAAGTAATGGACATAACTCGTCCATCAGGTAGGGTTCGCAGCACAGCTGGGAATATTTTCACACCCAACAGAGTAAGGTGGGCTATCTCGAATTTCAAGCCCCTAAAACCACCTGGAGGAGATGGAATTCTGCCTATCTTTCTGCAAAAAGGCTTAGAAGACCTTCTCCCAATAATAATATCCCTATATATAGCTAGCTATAGCTTTAGCTATATACCCACTCTATGGAGGAAAGTAAAGGTGGTCTTCATACCTAAAG